CGTAATTTACGAGTTTTTCACATGACTTATTTTTCATTCATGGTCAGTGTCTGGGGACATTTGATACGGGGATTAGTAGTGACCCTCGTCTATTGAGAGGAAATATCCCGACCGGTTTCATTAAACTTGTGTCAAATGGTCGTTAAATAAATGATGGTCGAATTAAATCACTAGTGTTTGGACTGTTTAAATATTGACTTTTAAATACAAACAGAAATAGTATTACGTTCTGCTTACAATTTTTTTGATAATATTAGTGAATAAATGTTAAAATTACGTTGAAGTAGCTGAAAGGTGATAAATATAGTAGATAAGAAAGTTTACAAATAGAACTACTGTGTTAAATGAATTAATTTAGTGTTGTCGGACATTATCACAACTTGGTTAAAAAATTAGTATCGAGATACCATATCTTGTATATGTGGATTTATTTTAGGAATATTTAAAACATCGTTTTTGGCTATATGTTAACTTTGTATAGTCGGCACACAGATTTTGCTTTAACAGTATATTTGTACAAATTCTGAACTGATTTAATTTGCTTATTGATGAATTTTTTATTGGGTGTTTTTATTGTTATATTAAAATGATATTTAGCTAAAAGCAAAAAAACAAAAAGATATATGCCATAAAAAAATTATTAAAAATATATTTATAATGTGATGTGTCACCAAGAAAAAATATTTTTTTATTATTATTGTTTATCTGTGTATAGGCTGGAGGCCATATAACTCAAAAACAGTTTGGATATATATGATGGAATTGATTGGATTATCTTATTCATTTTACCAGAATTTTTTACTGAAGCTTCTTAATATTCATTTTTGTTCTCTCCAATCTGTTAAATTGATATTTCAGTGACTTTGGGATAATTATTTAAGAAAGGATTTTTAAAAATTGAAAAATATTAAATGCCAAAAACAATAATTTGTAATTTGATCTTAAAAGTATCTGAGTAAAACTGATATACAATAGAACATGCTAATATCATACAGATATACAACAATAATAATAAGGATTACATTATATTGTATGACTGCATGAATTTGTATGATGCCATAAAGCCTGTAGATTCTGTACTAAATCCCAGGAATAATTGCTAGAATGCTATTACATGAATAAATCAACAACAAATTAACGAGACATAACAGAATAACACTCAAAATAGATCACAAATATTCCATTTTAGTCCATTCTGAAAAGGTCAAATTTTCTTTCTGTACTTCCCAAATGGAAAACATAAGATAATGTTTAAATTTTAATTTTCAGTTTTGTTACTTTACAAATAATTAATTTCTCATGACAATTATTGATTATTGACTTGGAAACACTAAAATCTTTGTTTAAAAGCTTTGAAAATAATTTCTTAGTTTTAAAATGTCAAAGAAAATGTGAATATCACAGAGGAGGTATATTAATATGATGAAGATATAACAAAACGTTTAATTCTGGGAGAAACTGTGAAAGAATTGTGATATAATAAAGTGTTAGGAAGATTTCATGATGAAGACAGTAGTTTGTAAGGATGGTACTATACGGATTACCAACAATCCTAAACTTATTGAGTAAGTTGTTATCCTAAACTTATTGAGTAAGTTGTTATCCTAAGAGTAAGTTGTTTTCCTAAAGTTGTTATCCAAATTTATTGAGTAAGTTATTTTCCTAAACTAATTAAGAAAGTTGTTTTCTTAGTCTTGAACCCCTTCACTGTTCGAACCAGAAGCGGTTTGCCTATGAACTAGTATGCAGCCAGACAGGCCTGCATTTTCATATTCATATATAATTAAGTTATCAAATTGTCATTCAGTTTGTTTGTTTCTATTCTTTCTTTTCCAGACAATTGCATCAATAGGTTTTGTTTAGTTTCAACATAACTATAGCATTGATCAGTGCCAGGTTTTGTGGTGCATGAACAATGCTGTAACATTCTTGTTTGTTTTCTGCCAAAATTTAGTAAACAATATCATTCTACTTGCTAATATTTCATTGCTTTGTTAGATTCATTATCAAACTCATCATTGAAATTAAGTGTTGTTTCTTTTATTATTGTTACCACTTCTTATACATTGATTTTATCATCAAGTCTTCAGAAGTCATTGCTTCTTTGCCACTTTTTATACGCCCGTTTGAAAAACGGGACATATTATGGGAACGCCCCTGGCGGGCGGCGGGCGGGTGGGCGGTCGGCGTCCAATTTTGTCCGGAGCATATCTCCTACATGTATGGAGGGATTTTAATGAAACTTCATAGAAATGTTCACCACTATGAGGAGCAGTGTCGCGCACATGAACCAGGTCTCTAGGTCAAAGGTCAAGGTCACACTTAGAGCTCATTGAAAATGCTTGTCCGGAGCAAAACTTCCACATGTATAGAGGGATTTCAATATTACTTGGCACAAATGTTCACCATTGTGAGGCAGAGTGTCGCGCGCAAGATTCAGGTCCATGCGGCCAAGGTCAAGGTCACACATAGAAGTCGAAGTTCAGAAAAAAATATGAAGATGTGTATATGGACCATTTAGTCATCATTTATTGAGGGATTGTAACACAAATGGTCATTATCAAGACTATGGCTGTGATACATATAATTTAGGTCAATATATACAAGGTCAAGGTCACTAAAGATGATGAAATATCCAGATTTTGTCCGGAGCATTTCTCCTACACGCATGGAGGGATTGTAATGAAATTTCATAGAAATGTTCACCATTATGAGAAGCCATGTCACGCACATGAACTAGGTCTCTAGGTCAAAGGTCAAGGTCACACTTAGAGCTCATTGAAAAACGCTTGTCCGGAGCAAAACTTCCACATGCATAGAGGGATTTCAATATAACTTGGCACAAATGTTCACCATTGTGAGGCGGAGTGTCGCGCACAAAATTTAGGTCCCTGCAGCAAAGGGGCGATTTAATCATCATTTATTGAGGGATTGTAACACAAATGGTCATTATCATGACTACGGCTGTGATACATGTACTTTAGGTCAATATATGCAAGGTCAAGGTCACTAAAGATGGTGAAATATCCAGATTTTGTCTGGAGCATATCTCCTACATGTATGGAAGAATTTTTATAATACTTTATGGAAATGTTCACCACCATGATATGTATTGCTCCATGCATGATCCAGGTCTCCAGGTCAAAGGTCAAGGTCACACTTAGAGCTCATTGAAAAACGCTTGTCCGGAGCAAAACTTCTACATTCATAGGGGGATTTCAATATAACTTGGCACAAATGTTCACCATTGTGAGGCTGAGTGTCGCATGCAAAATTCAGATCCCTGCGACCAAAGTCAAGGTTACACATAGAGGTCAAAGTTCAGATAAAAATTTGAAGATGTGTATAGGGACCATTTAGTCATCATTTATTGATGGATTGTAGCACAAATGGTAACTATCATGACTACAGGTGTGACACATTTAATTTAGGTTAATATTTGCAAGGTCAAGGTCACTGGAGATGATTTAATATCCAGATGTTGTCCGGAGCATATTTTCTACATGCATGGAGGAATTTTAATGTTACTTTATAGAATTGTTCACCACCATGAGACGTAGTGCCCTGCACATGAACCAAGTCTCTAGGTCAAAGGTGAAGGTCACAGTTAGAGCTCATAGAAAAACGCTTGTCTGGAGCAAAACTTCTACATGCATAGAGGGATTTCAATATAATTTGGCACAAATGTTCATCATTGTGAGGCTGAGTGCCGTGCATAAAATTCACATCCCTGCGACCAAGGTCAAGGTCACACATCCTGTGCATATCTTCCCTACTGATTTGTTTTAAGGTTCATTTAACAACACAGTGCCTAGAATAAAAACTTGCTTGCTAGATAACACTTATCAAAAATGCCCCCATCTCCATCTAAAGCTTTCGTAAACGGGCGTATTTTGTGACTATGGTTGTGACACCCTTGTTCTCATTAGATTCAGTTTTCCTTATTCTCATTCTTAAATCTTGTTGTATAATTTTGTATGATGTGTGTTTACTCATATCATTATTACATTATTGTATTATTCCATCATCCTGTTTCCTTCTTGATCATAAGTTTTACTTACCTCTGGTGTTTTTATAATGCCAGTTCTATTGAATATGGTGTTTTTATAATGCCAGTTCTATTGAATATGGTGTTCTTGTGATGCCAGTTCTATTGAATATGGTGTTCTTGTATGCCAGTTCTATTGAATATGGTGTTCTTATAATGCCAGTTCTATTGAATATGGTCTCTTGTAAAACCAGTTCTAGTGAATATGGTGTTTTTTTATAATGCCAGTTCTATCAAATATGGCAGTTCTATTGAATATGGTGTTCTTATAATGTCTGATCTATTGAATATGGTGTTCTTATAATGCCTGTTCTATTGAATATTGTGTTCTTATAATGTCTGATCTATTGAATATGGTGTTCTTTTAATGCCAGTTCTATTGAATATGGTGTTCTTGTAATGCCAGTTCTATCGAATATGGTGTTCTTGTGATGCCAGCTCTAGTGTTAATGGTGTTGTTATAATGCCAGTTCTATTGAATATGGTGTTCCTGTAATGCCAGTTCTATCGAATATGGTGTTCTTATAATGCCAGTTCTATTGAATATGGTGTTCTTGTAATGCCAGTTCTATTGAATATGGTGTTCTTGTAATGCCAGTTCTATTGAATATGGTGTTCTTGTAATGCCAGTTCTATTGAATATGGTGTTCTTGTAATGCCAGTTCTATCAAATATGGTGTTCTTGTAATGCCATTTCTATCGAATATGGTGTTCTTGTAATGCCAGTGTTATTGAATATGGTGTTCCTGTAATGCCAGTTCTATCGAATATGGTGTTCTTGTAATGCCAGTTCTATTGAATATGGTGTTCTTTTAAAGCTAGCTCTATTGAATATGTACAATTTCACTCTGATAATGTAAAGTATGAATAGTGGTATATGTTATGTGCATATGAGCACCTTACCTATGTATCACAACAAATGTACATATTAATGTTGTTGTTGTTATTTTAGGCGATGGACTCGGGCAGCAGAACAATGGAGACAGTACCACAAGGACCTGACAACTGTCACAAAATGGCTGACAGAAACAGAACAAAAACTGGCAGACCTCAAATATATACAAGATAGCAAACTTTTAGAGAAATCATACGCTGTAAGTATTAGTAGAGCTACTATATGACATCTCTCTTGTTAATGTTGATGTCAAAATCCGTTAATATTTAGTCATTCTTTTGAACAAATATATTCATTGAATGTTTGTTGTAAGTATTAGTAGAGCTACTATATGACATCTCTCTTGTTAATGTTGATGTCAAAATCCGTTAATATTTAGTCATTCTTTTGAACAAATATATTCATTGAATGTTTGTTAAACAAATGTTCGCAGTGAATATGGATTGTTACAGATTGCTAAGAATCAAAATAAAAGAACAAACAGTATAAGGCCTGATCAGCCTGCTCAGAAGCTAGAACTGGCATGGACTGGCATTTATGTCTTTATAATCATCTAGTCTTTAAAAGTTGGAAGGGAAGCTTAGCCTATTTGTTAAGGTGTCTGGTGTCTGCTTAACAACAGGAGTTGTAGCCCCTGTTTTTGACCATGTTTCATCATAAAGGCCATTGTTTATAACAGAAAGAGAGTACTAATGAGTATTTAATATAAGATGAAAGAATTTGTTTGCAAACAAGTTGAAATAGATATATTTTAAAGATTTAATTTGTATTGTATGTTTTTAAGGATCTGGAACTAGACATCCGAGATCATCAAGGTACTGTTAACAGTATGAACGCTGCCGGTAACGAAATTATCCGACAATCTGCGGCACCTGATTCCAACAAGCTGCGAGAAAAACTTGAAGATGTGAACCAAAGATGGAAAAATATCTCAACAGAAGTTCTTAATAGACAAGATAGGTTTGTTACCTTTCGTCTTGGAATTTAACACTTTTTAGCTCAATTGAAGAATAGTGGGAGGGGTTATCCTACTCACGCAACTGCAATGGCATATCATTTTCAAGTTTTGTGTGCAACTTCTTGTAAAACTCTGGATCTCTTGAACCATTGAAATATTTGCTTGTAATTTCACACATGCCTTTGAGATCATATTATAATTGGAGATTACTGAACAAGGCCCATACTTCCAGCATAGGTATTGACTGAATTATGGCCCTTCAGCAACTAGAAAATCCCTGGTAGAAATTTTGTTTTTAAAACTGCTGATGGTATTGTCTTGAAACTTCATTGTGTCTTTTTGAAATTATAATTAAAGCTCTTAACTGTAGCAAAATATGGCCTTTTTAAACTTATAAAATTCCTGGGTAACTCTCCTAGACTCCTAACTATGTCATGCTTGTTACAGTATTTAGAATGAAACCTTCCTCTTTTGTAAATTCTACATTATTCAGGCTCTTGCTTTACTATCGAGGTCTAGGAACAGTCGAGCGCTCTGTCCTACTGAGAGCTCTTGTTGTTTACCTTCTTCGTAGTATTGAAAGTTTGAAGTTTTTTTATGTTTACCAAAACAATTTTGAGGTAGATTATCATTAAAACAGTTTGTTTTTACAATACTCTGCCAGAATTTTATTTTTTACAATACTCTGCCAGAATTTTATTGAAAAAGAAGTCTGAAGAAAAATAAAAAAACAGCACAAAATGTAATAAGTTTGAACAAAGATAAATTTTAATAGATTTTTTGAATTATTGATGTTTAAACTCTAGATAAATGCATGCCATTTACAAATGTCTACAGAAAGTTCTAGATTAATTCTTGATTCTAAAGTTAAGGATTTATGTTTTTGTTGACAAATCTTGATATCTAAAATTTCATATTGTTGTGAAAAGTTCCTGGAATATTTCTATAGACTGTGTATAAATACTTATTTTGAGATGAAATTTATTGTAAAATTTGAATTGTTGTAATCTCAGCAGCAAAGTATGGAAAAAAAAAATATAATTAAATTATTGTATGTCATATTGTATATGTTTATGTTAATAAAAGGATGTTGTGATGGAGACATGATTATATATATTTATTTATAAAAAATGAATTTATACAAAAGTCTTAATTAGTGACATTCTGACAGAAAATTGTTTAGTAGCTGAGTTTCAAGAATATTGAAGGTGACAAATAAATACCACCATAAATGTAGCTATTACATAAGTGAATAGCAATAAAAAAAATGGTGTTTTTGTAAATAAAAAATTGCACAGTCATAAAAAAAAAGGATAAACTTTGGGTTTTCAAGATAAAAAAAGGATAAACTTTGGGTTTTCAAGATAAAAAAAGGATAAACTTTGGGTTTTCAAGATAAAAAAAGGATAAACTTTGGGTTTTCAAGATAAAAAAAGGATAAACTTTGGGTTTTCAAGATAAAAAAAGGATAAACTTTGGGTTTTCAAGATTCGGAAAAAACTTTGATTTATATCTGTAAGGTTTACCAAAGATATTTGAATACGGAAATGTTGTGTTTGCTACAGATTGGAGCAGGCCAGTGTGAAGACAAGTGAGTTTACTGACGACATGGATGAGATGTTTTTCTGGATAGATGAGACTGAAAATATCATCTCCACTTCTCTCAAACCGGAGGAGCAATACCTGGAGGAACTCCTCGAGAAAATGAGGGTATGTAAGGTGAATCTTTTTAGGCGACATGTTGGTTAGACTACCTTCAGAATGTAACAGCTGGGGTCAGTGGCTGAGTGGTTAAGGTTGCTGACAAATCAAAACACTTGCCCCTCACCAGTGTAGGTTTGAATCCTGTCAGGGACTTTTGATTCTTCTATGTGAGGAAGTTGTCCAGTTAGCATATGAAAGGTCTGTCAAAGGTTGGTGGTTATACTACAGTGCCTGTATGTGCAAAAACACATACAAGACATGAATGGTGTAAAACATGTAAAAATGTTGTTATTATTATTATTATAGATTTCCTGCATTTATGTCATATCAAATGTTCGAATGTTTTGCCCACTTCAGCACAGATTTTGATTTTGTTTTAATTCTTTATATGTTTGAGGAGATATCAACTTATCTATGACATCAGGAATATATAAGACTGTAATGTATATACATATAATATGATCAGAAAATAAATATACTCTTGACCATTCAGCATGTGCTTTTGAATATTGAAAGATGTGAAATTTACGGCTATCATTTCGGTTTATCAAACTATTTTTAGAAATTTATTACTTTGTGTTTGTTTTATACCTATGATTAAACTCATTAAGGTGCTATAAATAAGTCATTAAAATATTAGGGTAAACAAAGTGTAACTAACAAATTAGGGAAAATGAAACTGAGGAAAATCTGTTCAAAAATTACCTATTTTGAAACTTTGATTTTCATGACTTATCAATATTTGACCACCAAGTATAGAGGAAATTCAGCTCCAAATTTTTAAAAAGTTTAATCCATTCATTTATAAGGTAAACTAAAAAAAAATGCTGGTAAGAGTTGAATCATGTTGAAAATCTATTGAAAAATATTATTTTTCTACCACTTTACTTTATATAATATTGACAATATTTAAGAAAGAAGTAAGAAATTTGTAAATATAAAAATGATCTAGAAAATGGACACAAAAAGAAATATGTTATTAAGACAGTATATATGATAAGTATATTACATGTAAGTATACCTGGATTGTAGGAAACATTTTTTGGCTCATTTTATTGATACATCAATTGTTGAGTTTTCAACACTTGCAACATAAATTATTCTACCAGCCAAAACAAGTGTATATTCCATCACTGATCTATTTATAAACAATGCATTCTCAAAATACCTTAATATACATATTTCCTCACTAAATCTTCTTTGAAATTCACTAGTAGAAGTTGCTACTTAAATCTGATATTGTTTTTAAAAAAAGAATAAATAAAGGGATACAAAAAGGGGAATGGTATGATAAAGTTTCTAAGTTTATTGGGAAATAAAAGGAGTTCTGCATTTGTGCAAGTTTTCCCGCATGTGACGGAAGTTTCAGTTTTTCAGTTGCCAAAGAGATCATTTTGAAAATCATATAAATCTGTTGAGTTTTATATAAATGCAAGAAAAATTTACAGTAGAATTTATAACGAAACTTTTGTTTATAAATACTATTTAACAAAACTTTTGTTTATAAATACTATTTAACAAAACTTTTGTTTATAAATACTATTTAACAAAACTTTTGTTTATAAATACTATTGAAATGTTTATTGTATTTATTTTCTAATGTCAGAATGGAAGTATGCAGACTGTCTTTGATGGAGAGTGTTTTTTCTTGAAATATTTAAAAAAAATAAAAAAAATAAAGTGAATTGTAATGGGGACACTGTTAGGTTTTTCATTAACATTTGTGTATTTTTGTAAGGTAGTAAGTTTGAATATCCAATTTGAAATTTCATTTGATCTTTACAAACAAGGTGGACTGATAGCTCAATCAAATTATTTTACTGTGAGAGAAAGTTTTCAGATAAAATTTCTATGTACTAATGTTTCAGGATAAGTATTTTGGGAAAGGTAGTATAGGATGTTAAATATAAGATAAGATAGTTTCTATATTAAAGGACTGTATAGGATGTTAAATATAAGATAAGATATTGTCTTTATTAAAGGACTGTATAGGATGTTAAATATAAGATAAGATATTGTCTGTATTAAAGGACTGTATAGGATGTTAAATATAAGATAAGATATTGTCTGTATTAAAGGACTGTATAGGATGTTAAATATAAGATAAGATATTGTCTGTATTAAAGGACTGTATAGGATGTTAAATATACGATAAGATATTGTCTGTATTAAAGGACTGTATAGGATGTTAAATATAAGATAAGATAGTGTCTATATTTCAGGACCGTGAGGATGACATACCTGCCAAGAAGCAGACGGTTGGAGCAATCAACAGAAGTGGTGAAGTCCTCTTAAAACATGACACTCTCAGTAAACAGGATAGGGATAATATACACAAAGATTTGGATAACCTTAATGCCAGGTGGTCTAAGGTAGGTAACTCTTGAAAGCTAGTTGGTCTAAGGTAGGAAACTCTTGTTTGCAAGTTGGTCTAAGGTAAGAAACTTGTTTGCTAATGGTCTAAGGTAGGTAACTCTTGTATGCTAGGTGGTGTAAGGTAGGTAACTCTTGTTTGCAAGTTGGTCTAAGGTAAGAAACTTGTTTGCTAGTGGTCTAAGGTAGATAACTCTTGTATGCTAGGTGGTGTAAGGTAGGTAACTCTTGTTTGCTAGTGGTCTAAGGTATGTAACTCTTGTTTGCTAGTGGTCTAAGGTAGGTAACTCTTGTATGCTAGGTGGTCTAAGGTAGGTAAGTCTTGTTTTCTAGTGGTCTAAGGTAGGCAACTCTTGTATGCTAGGTGGTCTAAGGTAGGTAACTTTTGTATGCTAGTTAGTCTAAGGTAAGAAACTCATGTTTGCTTGGAGGTAAGGATATGTAAATCTTGCATTCCTGATAATAAAAGGAGAATAACTCTTGATAACCAGACATCAAAAATTGGTTTCAAAAAGTTCAGGAGGTTTGAATGTCAGTAACTCTTGGATATCAAGAAGTCAATGTTGTTTGTATATCAGAAGGTAAGTGGAAGATAACTCTTGTATCTGAGAATGTCCAGGAATCGGATATGAAAAACTTTTTCTATACTTAGTGGTCAAATATTAAGTCATGAAAACCAAGTAGTCAAGATATGTAATTTTTGAAATGGATTTTCCTCAATTTTATTTTCTCTTATTTGTTTCTTACACTTTGTTCACATTTTCAGATTACCTTAATATTTTATAGCAGCAATAATGAGTTTTCCAAAGCATGCTAAAAAGATTTGTTTATATCTATGTTTCAAAAAGAAACAAAGTGATAAAATGCTAAATATTGGTGGAAAAACTTAAATAAAATAGGCAAACTTAAATAAAATAGGCATATCTGTGTTGTTAATATATATTTTTGTACTTCAAAGGAATTTTTTTTAAATTTTCTCATCACAGGTAATGAATGAGATTCCGGAGAGTATCACAATGGGGAGAATTGTTACATCAGTTCGATTTTTCCTCGTCTTTTATACCTACAAACGGTGGACTATCTAATCCTCTTGGAAAAAGGGCCCATGCCCAGCCCTGAAACCCAAATTTGTTGATGAACAAAATTCAAATTATTGTAGACCCAGAGGAAAAATTTAAGTTTTTCATCATTTCTGACTATAGGTATTGAATAATTGAACTTTAATCTCTTATTATTTCTTATCTTCGCAAAATTATTAAACTTGAATGCAGCTCCGTCATTTTAAGATCCATTTTAAAGACTTTTACTTTATCATTAATAAAAAAAAAGTTCTTTAAATATCAATGAGCAGAATCTTCAATTTACTGCTGAATCTAAAAGGTTATTTTCAATATTTGTGAACCCAGTACTTAACCCTTTACCACATATATACACGAAACAACGTACTTTCGAACCCCCCCCCCCCCTTTTTAGGCCTCAAATAGTGAAAAAATGTCCTATTTTGGCCCCAAACACATGTTTTCGTTTGAGAAATGTTGCTAAAAAAATGAGAATTTTTTTTGGGCGCCGCCCCCCATCCAAAAGATACATCAGGGGGTTGCCAGAAGGGGGATGTGCCCCCTTCTGTTAGGGGGGTTTGAAGGGGGGCAGAGTCCCCCTCATCGCCAAGAAAATTTTGGACTTGTGAAAAATGACCCCAGGTCGATCATAATGTAACGTGTAACCAACGCTGAAAAGCCTTTGACTCTATCTCAATCCCTTAAGAAGTTGCAGCACTTTGAAATAAATTTTGATGGAAAAAATCGAGGCAAAATAGTGATTTTTGGCAATTTTGAGATGTCCCCTTGTTGCCATGGTAACAGGAAATTTAAGACTTAGCATGTTGTTACAAAGGCAATGGTCCAGTCAACATTTATGCCAAGTTTGATTAGTATTGAAGCATTTTTCATAGTTTCATAGCAGTTTGAACTTGTAACAGGAGGCTTTTCAGTGAAAACGGCCATTTTTCACAATATGCTCATGGGGGAAAGGGTTAACTAAAAAAATTATAAATGTTACAAAACAACAATTTTTCACCAAAATTAGGTGAAAGACCACATGTTAACATGGAAAAACTAGTTTTTAGGTGATTCTAAAGTTTTTCATCATTTTTTGCATACATGCCATAATTTTTGGACAGCTTTCCGGGACACTTTTCACCGCGGCAATAATGGATACATGTGTAGGCAGTTGTGGAAAAGGGGGGGGGGGGGTGTCAATCGTATAACGTTATTAAATTAGGACGACTTTCTCCTGAATTTTTAATAATAAACAGTTAACTTACTAGTTATAGAAGTAGTCTTTTAGGTCGACATATTTATCATTTTATAGTATTTCTTTATTTCATTTTTATTCCCTAAAAGGCTATAAACCCGGTGAATGGGCGCAGCCATGTTGTTCACCCGTTATATCTTAAAGTCGTGATAATTACTACATGTCACGTAATGCAATTCTTCCAGTCATAAAAACACCTTTAATTTTTTATTTGATAGATATATTTACATTGTTTGTAATAATTAGACTTTCGGCAAGTTAGCGATTGACTTAAAAATTAATGATTATCGGGGATTAACGATAATTGTTAAGGGCCGTAAACCGATAACCCGACCATTAAACGCTGCCGAATTCAACAGAGAACGTATATTGCCGATGCATGTAGAAAGCTATTGCCGAGGGGAATCGACAGTCGATAATTGGCTGTATATTGTAAACTTGTAAGTGTCAACGTTCCTGTGTATTATGTGAACCAGGTCAGAATATGTTTTACGATCGAGAGGTGAAATGCGCGAGATTTGATTTTATGAAAATTTTGCGAAATATCCTGATTTTTTTCCGGGATCAAATCGATGCCCGGGACATCTCCGGGACAGACATCCGATTTCCGGGACAATCCCGGGCACCCGGGACGTTATGGCATGTATGTTTTTTGTTAACCCTTTACCACATATATACGCGAAACAACGCACTTTCGACCCCCCCCCCCCCTTTTTAGGCCTCAAATAGTGAAAAAATGTCCTATTTGGGCCCCAAACACATGTTTTCGTTTGAGAAATGTTGCTTAAAAAAATGTGCACTTTTTCGGCGCCGCCCCCCCATCCAAAAGATACATCAGGGGGTTGCCAGAAGGAGGATGTACCCCCTTCTGTTATCGCCAAGAAAATTTTGGACTTGTGAGAGGCTAAAAATGACCCCAGGTCGATCATAATGTAACGTGTAACCAACGCTGAAAAGCCTTTGACTCTATCTCAATCCCTTGAGAAGTTGCAGCACTTTGAAATAAATTTTGATGGAAAAAATCGAGGCAAAATAGTGATTTTTGGCAGTTTTGAGATGTCCCCTCGTTGCCATGGTAACAGGAAATTTAAGACTGAGCATGTTGTTACAAAGGCAATGGTCCAGTCAACATTTGTGCCAAGTTTGATTAGTATTGAAGCATTTTTCATAGTTTCATAGCAGTTTGAACTTGTAAGAGGAGGCTTTTCAGTGAAAACGGCCATTTTTCACAATATGCTCATGGGGGAAAGGGTTAATGGTACATGTGTACCATGCAAATTAGTGTTACATATCTTAGAGCAATGATAAGAGTATAAGCAATGTTAAGCTATTTGATACTTAGATGGGATATCAGTCAAATGACTTTATAAAATCTCATAATTTGAAAAATATGTTACTGAGCTTTATATCATCATATACAATTATCATGAAGCTTATACTGTGCCCTAACTTGTGATGAATTTTCTATGATGCTGATAAGTACTATAGTTATACTAGAGAGTTGGAAAAAAAATCCATGAAAATCAACAAATTAATTTTTTGAGTCCACAAAGACCAAAATTGAAATATTTTGGTTGGCCACAGTTTTAAGTTTTACATCACGCTTTCAATGTAAAGGTCAAATGGTGACTTCCTGGCTGGTGGAGGAAGACCTCAGGTGTCACTCTGTGACTAATTCTCAGGCAAGAACCGGCACCTGAGTAGATCCACCAATGTTCCATAAGCATTACTATAAACTTGAAAACAATTTGAATAAATGTGGATACTTTCAGACAACGCAGGAAGCTGTGATAACAAAACAACAAAATGTAAACAAAGTAAACAAGACATGTGATCAGTTAAAATCCGAGTACCAGACAAATTTACCTGAACCAATCCAGACAAAGATGGACAAGCTTAATATAGACTGGGTCATTGTGAAGGAACTGGCAGAGAAAATGGAGCCTACTCCACTAGACTCATCTGTACATGAAGTGTTTGCTCAAGGTTAGTTTGTCTGTATGATTTCATCTTTTTTGAATTTACCAGAGCACATTTCAGTTTGAATGACCATAGTAAGGGTTCCATGATCAATTGCAATCAAAGTGACCTGCACCATCTAGGATTCGAGGCTGGGACCCACCAAATCACAGTCCAATCCTCTATCTATTGAGCTGACCAGACTTTTATAAACTTCTAAGTAACAGAATTGTTGTTTGGACATGTTGTTCATCTAGTCTTATTATGATTTGTTGAGTTACAACCCAGTCAAAGAAAAAAAATCCATGTTTATTTTTTTTTTACAGTGAAAGTATCACAAGCAGCTGCTCAGCCTGGGGTCAAACCTGATTGGTCAGATTTTGACCAGTCAGTGGCGGAGCTCCGTGATTGGTTGACGTTGTTGGAACGTATGTTGAAGTCTCAACGTGTCACAGTCGGTGATATAGAGGAGATTGAACAGATGACCAAAAAACAAAAGGTGCGTACTGAACATTACCTTAATTGTTTGTATTGAGGATAACGGACCCATATGAGTCAGTTAAAGTGACATTATGCCCATCCAAGGGTATATAATGAGTGAACGGGTGAATATCAAAATAAGTTTTCATTTTGCCATATTTCCTTTTTATTCAATAATTAAGTTTGCATAAACAATAAATAACACAGAGATTCCAATGAAATTGCGGTAAATATCCATTTGAATTAACATGTAACGCTTAGTTTATAAAAAGAGTGGTCTTTTTAGATTTTAGGCAGATTTATAATTTTATTCAAAACATTTTCCAATATCAACTGTTGGTCAAACACCATTTTATCAGTTAATCTTTTGAAATTTAAAGTCATTTCAGCTCAACTTGACTATGAAAATATGAGCATAATGTCACTTTAATATCAAATAATGTTGGCGTTTCTCGCAGCAACATCATTATTTGACAAAGTACCTATTGAGTGACTGGGCTAGACTTTAGAATATGTCCATATTTTTTAACATTTTACACAAAATTATCTCTTCAGTATTTATCAGTTTATGTTTCTCTAAATATCACTCAAATTACTTCTAAAGTTACAATTAATGGTTAGTGTTATGGGTTAGGGTTAGAAGGTTAGGATTATATAACATGAGTTTTGCTGCAGACAGATTCTAAAAGTGCTATAGTGAATGACATTCATTCTCATGAGTGTCTGTAATCCTTAATAAATTAATGCAAATATATCAGATATTATAAATTAAATTGATCAATTAACTGATTGGCAATTAATGTCTAAAGATTTTCCATCCATTTACAGTTATTGGTGATTTGTCATTTTAAAATAATATAAACAGCTATTCAGAATAGAATATTAATTGTGTGAAAATATTATGACTATATTTATGAGCTTTTAGTTACACATCCTGCTTCATGTATTATATATGTAGCCTTGTAACCTCATTTATTATTGTGTAAAGGTGTTTTTATTTCTTGAAGCCTTTCCCTTCATATATTTTTATGGATTATTTTACAAACTTGTTTTTTTGAATTACGGCAAACCATATCTTTGTTTACAAACCTTTTGAGTTTTCCTTATACATCATGTAGAATATGATTTCTAGCTAAAAATTAGAAAATGATAAATTTAAGAATACAATATTTCCTTATATATACAAATTGGAATATCATGTAATTAGAATGTAATGTAAATAAGGTGATTGTTATAAAGTTTATGATCTCTATTCTGAGAAAATTAATGAACATATGTTAAATGTATTGAACTACTTTAATATTGTAATATACATTGTATTAGTGATAGTCTGTGCATCAAAGTTATAGTTGTGCATTGAAATTTATTTTTAGTCTGTTCCATAAAAGAAAATATTAACCCAAAGTAAAATAGTATTTATCATTTTCTAGTTCCCTGAGTGAGAAAAATTTGTTGTAAGCTTGAGATTTGATGCAATGTGAGCAAGATAAAATAACCAGCCTCATAATTAGCATATATCGTATATGTACAATGTTGTTTCAAACTTGATTGTCTGTTTTGTCAGCAACGTTGTATGAATAATGATGAAAAAATTGTTTTATTTAGTGAATTCATAAACAAGGAATGATCTCATACAAACATTTATATTATAATATATATATATCAGTTATCCAGACAAACTTTGTTTTGATAAGAGTTACCAATTTATTCTACTATATGCTCACACATTTCAAGCACTGCAATTTTTAAAGATTTATACATGTATGTAATTGAAGTTAATTTACTTATTGTAATAAACACCCTGGGTGCTTGAGATCTCTAAGATTTACTGGATTAATTTTCCCACTATTAAATGTACAATAAAACTTTCATGGCAGAAAAGTTATCACACCAATCTTTAACCCTTTTAAGTGCTGGACCCGAAAGCATTAAGCCTTTGCCACCAGTATTATAAGCCAGGCCAGCCTGCACTTCCGTGCAGTCTGACCAGGCTCTATACTGTTGGCTGACAAATTTTAAATATTCATATTGATATCCCTAAAATTGATAATGGACAGTCCCAAAAATAGAAGTGGGACAAGTTCATTTAAAATATTCAGCATGTTCAGGGTTAAATATAGGAGGGTACTAATTAGAGGGTTAGGCTTAAAGGAAACAATATGGTAAGTAAGTATAGTAAATTGACTTGAGATCATGCTTTCCAATTAGTTTTACTTATATTTATGAATTTGTGGTTTTTTACTCTGCAGGAATCTATTGATGCAAATTAACGACATTTCTATACATAGATCAGTTGCGATTTGACTGTTTTACCATACAAACATGCAAAATGGGATGTAAAAATCCTAATTGATTTGTTTGTTCAAAGATAAGGGAAAGGTTTTTGTGGATATAGTTAACAGAAAGATGGAATTATATACTTATACCATTTTCTAATTAACCAAAATTATGTGTAAGCAAACAACAACAAAAAACTGTATTACCTCTCAAGATATTGAAGACGAATACCACATACATAAAACATTATGCTGTATACATAAAACTAATTTTACGGAAATAGGAAAGTCATGTGATGTTTTGGGAAATTTGACATTAGTTTTCTTTTGGTAATATGACTAATTACATGTGTAATTACTAAAATAAAAGAACTGTCTTTAGATATTCTCAGTCCTGAAAAAATTAGACTCCTATAACAAGACGAGTTCAGCACTAAGGCATTAGGTAAATTAAATTGACAACATAAACTTACCCTAAATATATGTCACTGTCTAATTAAATACCATCAGTCATGATTGCAGTCACTCTAGAGTTGTCTAAATTACATTTGTTTGTCATAAGGAGTTAAGAAACATATATTTAAGTTACTTTGTTGATCATGTTAGGGTCAGTTGTGTCTTTTACAGAATTTGCTTTGCTTGAAATATTTCACCTGCTAAAATGTCAAAAAATGTAATTTTGCTTTCAGGATTTTGCATTTGTGAAGGATTTAACTTTTCTAGATAAAAATTGAACATTAAGAGATTAATACCAAAGTACATGAGTTCATTACGGTCCTGTGGTTACTTATTGAACATGGGTGTAACAAAGTTAAATATTAGCTCTACATTTCATCTCTCAATAACCAAATGTTAATTTCAGGATATCACAGGTGAAAATTTAGACATGCCCGAAATGAGCATAGTCGAAATAGAAGCAGTAGAGAACCTAGTTAAGGATATAGGTTCTGAACTTAAACTACTACAGGTCTGATGATTTTATATTGCCTGAAACATTCCCTGTCATAATTCATAGTTACCCCACCTGAGCACAGTATACCTGACAAAAAATCCCTAATGTACAACAAGAAACCATTATGATGTATATAATTATATAATGTTGATATATTGCCCTTTTTGTACCATTTATTATCATTATAAACAAAAGCACAGTAAACATGTTAAATGTACGCCTTTTAGTGTATTTTTGAAAATCATTGATTTTTAGCACACTTTTTTCCATTTTATTTTGATTGTTTATGAATCATGAATCAGTACATCTCTAGATTGTACAAAATAAAACAACATTCTGCTTTTAAATAATCATTTTATATCATTATTTTGGTCATAAATCTTTTATTCAAGCAACAAAATTTGAAATAACATGCAATAAAATTTCCTTCAGCTCAGGTGGGCAATTATGTCTCTATTGGGTCTCTTGTGTTTTGTTTGTTAACAGTTGTGTTATGTAGGTGCTGGTTAATACTGGATTCCTAATGCTAGCTTCTCCTCACATATCTACTTTAATTGATGAAATTAGGTACTTTAATTGATGAAATTAAGTACTTAAATTGATAAAATTAGATACTTTAATTGATAAATTTAGGTTCTTTAATTGATGAAATTAAGTACTTAAATTGATGAATTTAGGTACTTTAATTGATGAAATTAGATACTTTAATTGATGAATTTAGGTACTTAAATTGATAAAAATAGGTACTTAAATTGATGAATTTAGGTACTTAAATTGATGAAATTATGAACTTTAATTGATGAAATGAGGTACTTTAATTGATGAAATTAGATATTTTAATTTATGAAATTAAATACTAAAATTGATGAAATTAGGTACTTAAATTGATGAAATTAGGTACAGTGTAACTTCCGAATTCCGGAACTTCTGAAATCCGGAAACTTCTAAAAACCGAAAAATTTTTTCGGTCCCGATTTTTTCCCTTCTATTTTCTATTAATATAATACTTCTGAATTCCGGAACTTCTAAATTCTGAATTCCGGACGATATTTTCGTAAAATTAGAGTCAAATCAATGCAATTTTACCTCCGAAAACCGGAAATATCCAAAGGTGTGAAATACATTGTAAATCGAGAATGTTTACCCTGCAGGAAGATTTAATCTCCCTATCGATTGTTTACTTAATTAGCGGTGATCGTGTAATTTGACACGCGTTAAAATCACAAACTGTGTAATGGTATGTTTGAAGTGATGCGGTTAATCAAAGTAATTTACCGCGGTCAGTTAATTTGAAGTGTTTATTAGCGGATTAAATCACAATTAGTTGGGACAATGTATGAATCAAACGTCTTTAGGGATTTTATTGCATTTGATGTTATAATTAATTAACTAGCATCGGACGATATGTAAGTTTATGCAATTAACAACATTTCTACAAACTGATAGAAATTCAAAAGCATTTGCAGGTGTAAGATTAAAATGTATTCTTTTCATTCACATCTTTATCTTGATTTAAAGACTATTATATATGATATTACAGTAATGGCCACATCTTCCTTGACATTTAGTGATATTAAGTGGCTTAGTCTTGTCCACATTATCATTAACCTCTGAATTCCGGAAACCTCTGAAATCCGAACTTTTTGACAAGTCCCATGTGTGTTCGGTTTTCGGAAGTTACACTGTACTTAAATTGATGGAAATTGGTACTTAAATTGATGAATTAAGGTACTTGAATTGATGAATTGAGGTACTTAAATTGATGGAATTAGGTACTTTAATTGATAAATT